TCTGAAATACTGTAATGATAAGAATCTGCCTCAAATAACAGAAAGTTAAAAGAAGCTAGTGGTATTATTTGGGGACAACGATGCTTCAAAAATTATTATATGAGTTCCTTCGGGGAAATAGGGTGGTCTACAAATTTTATTATTATTATTATTATTATTATTATTATTATTATATTAGAGGTTGATAGTTATTGAAGTTTAATAGTATATTAGAGAAGTATTGTATTTGTTTTTATAATTCATTTCAACAACCCAAGCTGACCGAAACCCTGCTAAACAGATGCTGTGAATGTTTGAATTTGGAAGAAGTGATGCTTCCAAATGCAGTGCTTTAATGCTTTGGTCCGAAACTACTGGTGATTAGGTTTGTTGGGAATGACTGGAAGATTTCTTCTGAAATAAGGGATCGTGGTATAAAAATCCCACCTATAATGTTTGTATTCTTGCTCTAAGAAGTGGGTAGTGGCTGAAAATGGAAGTTTCGGGAACTGAATGAAATGGTTCTCTGGGCAAAATGATATATTGGACATCAAATACATCCAGGAACTATTAGGGTTAAGCATTCAAAATGAAGGGAAAGACCACATTATTTGAGTTTAAGATAAGAAATCTAATTAAAAATAGGTATTATGGGTATCTGGCTTGAACTTGCTCTCATGCTTTTAAAAGGCGATTCTTGTATCTGTTGTAAAGTAGAGGGAGAAGTATCATGGAGACTGGGGGAAAATGTTTTCTTGGGTTGCAAAAAGGCAATCAGACACTTATTCTTTAGCAACACATACATAAAAGCCTTACTCGTGGTTTTTGCAGTAGAAACACAGAAACTATTAAGGATACAGTCTGAGATATATGTGCAGAGAGAGGTACTCCATTTCAGATTTGAATGTTGCCAGCTACGTTAAGTGTTGCAGTGACTTAGCTGGGAATGGTGGGATGATTGAACTGAAGGAGGGCTTTGGTGAAAGGGCTCTACACTTTCCATACTCAAGGCATCATTAAGAGGAGAGGCAGGCTCTTAATTTTCTATGAAATCCTGCCCCTTTTATGCAAGAACCCATGATTTAGATTAAGAGTTTGTATGACTATTATATTTGATATATGGTACTTGAGCCCATTGTGGTACAATGGGTTAAACCCTTGTTCCAGCAGGACTGCAGATTGAAAGGTTGGAGGTTCAAATCTGGGGGACGGGGTGAGCTCCCATCTGTCAGTTCCAGCTTCCCATGCAGGGATATAAGAGAAGCCTCCCACAGGATGGTAAAACATCTGGGCGTCCCATGGGCAATGTCCTTGCAGACAGGCAGTTCTCTCACACCAGAAGCGACTTTCAGTTTCTCAAGTTGTTTCTGGCATGAAAAAAAATGATACTGCATTCAGAGATGAGAAGCAGAGTGTGTTTTATAAAGTTATTTGTTAGATCCATTCAGACACAGAAATATTGGATGTAATGAATTCAGACATAAGGTGAAAGACTCACTTGTATGATAACCTTCAACCTTGTCTGGTGGGAACCCATTTGTTTGAAATCAAACTTGCCTCATGCATGTACACTTACCTAAGGAGAGAAAAATTACACAATGCAGGTTAATTATCCTTATCTGGAAGGAGCCGCGGTGGTGCAATGGGCGAAACCCTTGTGCTGGCTGAACTGCTGACCTTGAGGTGGTGGTTTGAAGCTGTGAGATAGGGTGAGCTTCCATCTGTCAGCCCCAGTTTCCCATGAAGGGACATGAGAGAAGCCTTCACAGGAGGGTAACAAATCCAGGCATCCCCTGGGCAATGTCTCTGCAGACGGCCAATTGTCTTACACAAGAAGCAATTTGCAATATCTCAAGTCGTTCCTGACATGGAAAAAAAAAATCTGGAAGGAACCATGATGGCACAATGGGGTAAACCCTTGTGCCAGCTGAACTGCTGACCCAGAGGTCAGTGGTTTGAATCCACAAGGCAGGGTGAGCTCTCGTCTGTCAGCTCCAGCTTCCCAGGCAGGAGCATGAGAGGAGCCTCCCCAGGAGGCTTCCCTTGGGCAACGTCTCTGCAAAAGTCCAATTCTTTCACACCAGAAGCGACTTGCAGTTTCTCAAGTTGCTTCTGATATGATAAAAAAATCCTTATCTGGAAATCCAAAATCTGAAACTGCCCACATGAGTAGCTGAGAGTGACATCCTTGCTTTCTGGGGGTTCGACATAGACAAACTTTCTCTCATGCACAAATGTATTAGGTATAAAATTACCTTTGGGCTGTGTGTGTGAAATGTATATGAAACATAAATTAATCAGTTTCCAATATACCTCATAACTTCTGAGGGTGCCTGCCATATATGTGGGTGAAATGTCAGGAGAGAGTGCTTCTGGAACATGGCCATACAGCCCAGAAAACTCAGCAGCCTAGTAATTCCGGCCATGAAAGCCTTTGATAAATTAATTGCCTGTTTAGACTTGGGTCCCATCTCCCATTGCCTGTTTAGACTTGGGTCCCATAGCTCGTGATATACATATATGCAAGCCCAGGCATTCCAAACATTCCAAAATATGGTGTGGGGGGGGGGGGGGAATCCCAAATACTTCTGCCTCCAAACATTTTGTATAAGGGACCCTCAACCTGTGTTGTTTCACATCCCATAGTGAAAAGAGGATGCATATGGATGTATCAATCTCTAAACATTGCCTCTGGAGCATGCAATTTGATTTGTTGGAAGTCCCTCGTCATGTTGGTTTGGAAGTGAGCAGAAAGTAGGGTGTGCTTTGCAAGAGAATCTGTGTATAAATAAGAGGGGGAAATATAGGGATAAGTTTTCCCTGAAGGAAAAATATAAGGGAAGTTTTGCTTGCCCTGGAGCCCCTGATGGTGCAGAGGGTTACAGTGTGAGCTGCTGAACTTGCTGACCTAAAGGTGGCAGTTTGAATCCAGGGAGTGGGTGAACTCCTGTTGTTAGCCCCAGCTTCTACCAACCTAGCAGTACTAAAAATGCAAATATGAATTGATCAATAGGAACTGCTTTGGCGGGAAGGTAACGGCGCTCCATGCAGTCATGCTGGCCACATGACCTTGGAGGTGTTTATGGACAATGCTAGCTTTTCGGCTTAAATATGGAGATGAGCACCACCCTCCAGAGTCACACACAACTAGACTTAATTCAGGGAAACCTTTACCTGTTGCCTGCCCCACAGATGAAAGGTGGGTTCAAATCACAAGGACACGACTAGACTTAATGTCAGGGGAAACTGCCCACTGTGAGAGCAGTTCACAGTGGAACTCTTTGCCCCGGAGTGTGCTGGCAGCTCCTTCTTTGGAGGCTTTTAAGCAGAGGCTGGATGGCCATCAGTTGGGGGTGCTTTGAATGCAATTTTCCTGCTTCTTGCCAGGGGGTTAGACTGGATGGCCCACAAGGTCTCTTCCAACTCTAGGATTCAATGAAACCTTTCCCTTTTGCCTGCCCCACAGATTAAAGGTGGGTTCAATCACTAGGACACAAGTAGATGCAATGTCAGGGGAAACTGTCCACTGTGACAGCTGATCAGGAGTAGAACTCTCTGCCCTGGAATGTGGTGGAGGCTCCTTCTTTGGAGGCTTTTAAGCAGAGGCTGGATGGTCATCTGTTTTTTTTTTTTGCTTCTTGCCAGGGGGTTAGACTGGATGGCTCACAAGATCTCTTCCAACTCTAGGATTCAGTGAAACCTTTCCCTTTTGCCTGCCCCACAGATTAAAGGTGGGTTCAAATCACTAGAATATGACTAGACTTAATGTCAGGGGAAACTGTCCACTGTGAGAGCTGTTCAGCAGTGGAACTCCCTGCCTTGGAGTGTGGTGGAGGTTCCTTCTTTGGAGGCTTTTAAGCAGATGCTGGATGGCCATCTGTTGGGGGTGCTTTGAATGCAATTTCCCTGCTTCTTGGAAGGGAGTTGAACTGGATGGCCCACGAGTTCTCTTCCAACTTTAGGATTCAATGAAATCTTTCTCTTTTGCCTGCCCCACAGATTAAAAGTGGGTTCCAATCACTAGGATACAACTAAACTTAATGTCAGGGGAAACTGTTGACTGTGAGAGTGGTTCAGCAGTGGAATTCTCTGTCCTGGAGTGTGGTGGAGGCTCCTTCTTTGGAGGCTTTTAAGCAGAGGGATGCATTGAATGCATTTATTTATTTATTGATTTACTACATTTATATACCGCCCCTCTCAGCCCAAGGGTGACTCGGAGCGGTTAACAATCGGCAACAATTTGATGCCAAAACAATTACAATAATTAAGAATCATAACACTAGCAAACAATATAAAAATATAAAAACCTTAAAAACATTCTCATAAGCGTCTCCATATCAAATCATTGTCCCGTTGCATCGTCAGTGGTTCCAAGATATCATATATCTATGCCGTATTTGGGAAGGCCTGCTCAGAAAGCCAGGTTTTCACCATTCTTTGAAAAGTCAGGAGGGAGGGGGCCAATCTTATCTCTCTAGGCAGGGTGTTCCACAGTTGAGGGGCCACCACTGAGAAGGCCCAAATGCATCTGCGAGGAAGGCGTGACTGAGAGCAGAAGATCTTAATGTCCTAGATCAATGATTTTCACCCTGTGGGTCCCCAGGTGTTTTGACCTACAAATCCCAAAAATCCCAGACAGTTTACCAGCTATTAGGATTTCTGGGAGTTGAAGGCCAAAACATCTGGGGACCCACAGGTTGAGAACCACTGTCCTAGATGGTTCATAAGGAGAAATACCTTCGGATAGGTAAGTTGGACCGAAAACCGTTTCCCTGCTTCTTGGCAAGGAGTTGGACTGGATGGCCTTCGAAGTCTCTTCCAACTCTAGGATTCAATGCAACCTTTCCCTTTTGCCTGCCGCACAGATTAAAGGTGGGTTCCATTCAGGAGTAAACCTAGTGACCTGAAGAAAGATGAGCCCGAAAAGGCAGGCACAAAGTTGATGGCAAGTGCCCCCCTCCAGTGCGTTGCCTTTCCTGGGCTTAGCGCAGAAGGTGCTGCAGGTGGTGCTGCTGAGCTGGAAAGCTTGGCCTTCCCCATTAGAGCCTGACAGAAGAAGAAGAAGCGGGGGTCCCTGGAAATGAGCGCATTTATTCAGCAGCCAGGGCGCAAGGCTCACACAAATGGAGAGGCACAGGAGGCGGCAGCAGCAGCAATAGCAATAGCAATAGCTCCTCGGCAGCGGCGGAGAGGTGTTTTCCTTCTTCCTCTTCCTCCTCTTCCTCTTCTTCGCCTTGGTCCCTCTCTTCCCCTCCACCTCCTCCTCCTCCTCCTCCCTCTGGCTGAGTGTAATTTTTAGATTGAGATCCAGCTTCTATCCGAGGTGGGGGGGAAAACACTTTCTCTAAGGCTGAAAGCGGTAGAGTTGCCACCGCCAAGGTGATGGGCTATCAAAGGCAATTACATTAAAACAGATTATACTGTGCAAATTGAGCCATTTAGAAGGTGAGAGAAGCACCAAAGGAGCCGCGCCGAGCCTCCCCTGCTCCTTCCTCCTCTCTCTCTCTCTCTCTCCCCCTCTCTCCCCCCTTTTGCTCCTTCAATTGCAGTTTGAGTTCCTTGCAATTCAGGGGGAAAGGCAAGTGGGAGAGGGCGCTTTTGTATCTGCAAAGTGCTGCGTTTCTCGAAGGTAATTCTAACTGAGTGCAATCTAGGTTAAAAGCCGGGCAACTGGATCATTAGAGCTCGCGCTCGCTGCGAAAGGACAATCCGCCGCGCGACGCCGGGGCTCCTCTGGGCGCCCAAGAAGAAGAAGCAGAAGCAGAAGCAGAAGCAGCAGAAGCAGAAGAGCCTCTCCTCCTCCTCCTCTTTCTCCTCCTCCTCTTCCTCCGCTCCCCGGACTTCCTGCGACCCCGGAGATGATGGTGCTCGACAAGGAGGACGGTAGGTGAGCCCAGCCCCGGAGCAGCAGCAGCGCCCGGGGAGTGTCTGCATGGATGTGTGTATGGGTCTCTATGCATACATACATGCATTCTAGGCAATCCAAGCCTGCCTGGCTTCTTCGCCTTCCATTCCTCTCTCCTGACCCTCTGCCAAAGGACAGCGTGCTGGACAGTTCTGTTCCTGGGTGGATATCAGACCAGAGTTCAACCCAGCTCGCTTTCCTTGGGATTCTGGGAGCAGGATAGTTTCCAAAGAAGTTTTGGGAAGGGGGAGGAGAGCGTGTTCTTTCACATTTGCAGCATTTCCTCCCATTTCTTCAACTTTCTTTTGGGGGAAATACGAACATTTCTTATGAGTGGGGCATCTTTAGCATTGGGTACCTATTATGCATCTCCCTTTCCTTATAAATAGGGTGTGATGCATAATAGGTACCCCCAATGCTAAAGGTATCCAGTGTAAATAGGGTGATGACAGGGAATGCACCTGCTAATGGGCGCTGATTGGTTGTGTTGATAGAAGGCATTCACATTTCATGCCATGAGTGATGTTTTAGAAGTTGGGCAACTGCTTCTACTTTTGGAAATGTATTCATCTGAAGCAGCCCAGGGGGGTCTGTTGATACTGGGAGACTTAAAGTGCACATTCAAAAGCTGTAGCATAGCTTGGTTGTAGTAGTGTAGTTTAACTCTGCTGTCCCGCTGACAGGCAACTAACCTGGGTAATTTCTAGGCAAATCACCCAGGCAAATCACTCAGGTAACTAACCTGGGTGATTTCTAAGAAAAAATATAAAGAGAGAAAATTATTTCCAAGTCTAGGAAAATGTGTTGTCGAAGACTTTCATGGCTGGAATCACTCGGTTATTTGAGTTTTCTGGGCTGTATGGCCATGTTCCAGAAGCATTCTCTCCTGACATTTCACCCACATCTATGGCAGGCATCCTCAGAGCTTGTGAGGTCTGTTGAAATCTAAGCAAGTGAGGTTTATATGCTTGTGGACGGTCCAGAGTGGGAGAAAGAACTCTTGCCTGCTGTTTCCAATATAACTCACAGCCTCTGAGGATGCCCGCCATAGATGTGGGTGAAATGTCAGAAGAGAATGCTTCTGGAACATGGCCATACAGTCTGGAAAACTCTCATCAGCCCAAGTCTAGGAAGGCACGTTATCTGTTTCAGCTTGTTATGGAACATTTTTATAAGTAGGAAGGATAATTTGCCAATTTTGGGGCCAATTATGTTCATTATTATTATTACCACTAATACTGCTACTTTTGCTATTTTGAATAGAACAGGAGAGACAACAAAGCAAATGCTGAAAAGTTATCAGTTCCCTGACATTTCTTTTGCTTTTCCTGTCAAAAAACAGCACAGGACAAGCTAGAGAGAATGAACTTAAGTGAGATAAAATGTCAGGTTTTGTGTGTAGCGATATTGTTATGATGTGCTATTACTTGTATTTCCAAAGTGACAGCTGTTAGGTGTTTGTGCATAACCATCCGTATTATCGATTACGTGGAACATGACATATTGTAAGAAGTAGCCCCAATTTCTGAGGCTGAAACTCTTTCAGGTCTTCCAGAGGAAGTGCTGTTAAATAACGCTGGACCTTCAGTTGGAGAAAGTGCTCCACAGAACTTTTCATGTAGGTATATTATTTAAAGCAGTTGTGAATATTAAAAGACATCTATAGGTTACCTAACTTGGCAGTGTATAATTATTAGTTGACAGCTTTGGCTGGCTCTTTCAATAATGTCGCTTTCATCAAGGCTAATTTACCACGATGGCTGGAATGGGACACAGCTTAGAATACAATCCAAACATTTTGGGGAAATTGATAGCTATAGATGGCTTATAAAAGGCATATGATGTATCCGCTGGTGTGTTTAAAGTGAAAGAGAATAATTTGTATTTTTGTGTAAGTGCAAAATTTTCATCTCTATGTGGTGTGTTGTCTGAGTGAATGCTGTCAAGCATCATGACTAGATGTAATTTATTGCATGTGATCATTATGACCACATTTGTCTTTCAGTGAGCTAAAAATACATTTAATTTGACGTTTTAACGTGCTTTTCATCACTTGATCATTTTGACAGCCTTATTGTTTGTTTTTCTTTTTTTAAACTTTCTGATCCTACCTTCGGGAAATTGTAATGTCTCTAAAAATACTTGGCACGAACTGTCAATTGTATGGGTGAATTAAAGTTGCGACTGCATTCTGAATTAACTGGATTTACATGGGGTCAGGAAAGTCTGTCCAGTTCGATTTCACTGTCATGATAATGCACTGGGGATTAAAAATAAAGTTGACCTCTGCTGAGTCAACAATACAAGGGTTATGTAGAAAGGATGGCCACAGTAACGAAGAACTGATCATAAAAACAGAAAGGTTCCCTCACATAGGAATGGGTGAAGATGGGAACAGCTTTAAAGAGAGTTGAAAAATTAGGTGTCATTCCTATAGTATGCATATACTAATTTCACCAACTCTTTGCATACAGAATTCCTTTAAATAAGTTAATATTTTTGATGTTGTGTGCTTTCCAGGCTGTATGGCCATGTTCCTGAAGCATTCTCCTCGATGCAGGTGAAATGTCAGGAGAGAATGCTTCTGGAACATGGCCATACAGCCCAGAAAACACACAGCAACCCAGTGATTCTGGCCATGAAAGCCTTCGACAACACATTAAACATTTTTGAGATCTGTTATTTTGGCAAAACAGTTGCTGCAGGTTTTTGGAAGGATTTACAAACCCCCACAAGCCCTGTTGACCATAGGGAATGAAAACATATACCTTGATAAATTACCCTTTGGTGTCAAGAGTAACTATTCCAGTTTTCAAAGGTGTTTTGAATTACTTATTGTTGCTTTGAAAATAAATAAATAATAAATAAAATGTTAAATTTCCCTTCTCTGAGCTCCACTTCAGAGTGGAGGAAAACATAATCTCCTATGTTTGTGGTTATGTGCCATTTTTTTTATTTTGCACTTAAGTTGGAGACTGCTGAACACTTGAAACAGAGCTTAGTGTCCAAAAAAACCAAGCTTAATGAAAAGATCAAAGATGAAATTGTTATGTTCATGTAGGTCTTGTTGAAATCGATAGGACGTGCATAACTGTGCCAGAGTTTTTTCCTCAAATTTCACAAGGAAATCAAATCCATGATTTCTGGATTGCTAGAACGTAGTGCTATAGAGAAATCTGGAAATGAATGAATAAGAGAGATGTAATATACTCTGAATGGTGACCAATGTAATTCAGAAATCATTTCAATCTGCCAGCACACCCAAAACCAGTTAAATTGGAACACTGTGCTCTTATCTATTTTAATTCCATTTCTCAAGAATTAAACACAGTTGACTTCAATCCAATTATCCTACCCTTGCTACCTTGTGGACTGGCTGTTAGATGAAATGCAGACTGTTTAGATAACCTATGTCTTTTGAGGGGAGCTTGCCAGACATGGGGTGGCAGGTGTAACAAACATGGAAATCGGGGCATTTTACAGAAATTATTTTACAGAAAATAATTTCAAGCACATTGAATGTCTTTGGAAAAAAGTCTTCTTCTATAATAATGTATACAGTAGCTTCTACTTCTACAAGAAAGAAGCTGCAGAAACCTGAACCCCTAGATGTGACCAGCTCAGGTTTAAATGAAGGTTTGTAGTGATAAGGCAGCAAGGTAGAAGTGGAAAGGAAACATATGAGTGGGAAAACTGCAGAGGTCAAATGACTGAGAGCGATTAGACTTGAAATTACTATTAGTCTTCACTGAATGGCCAGGCAATGCCAAATAAATAAATGCCCACAACCAAAATAATAAGAATAAAAACAAAACTGACCCCATCCTGAATTTCACTTTTGAGTTTAAGTACCAAGCTTTTTCACTGAGACTCCAGTGTGATTTTTTTCCATGTCAGGAGCAACTTGAGAAACTGCAAGCCGCTTCTGGTGTGAGAGAATTGGTAATCTACAAGGATGTTGCCCAGGGGATGCCTAGATGTTTTACCATCTTTGTTGGAGGCTTCTCTCATATCCCCACATGGGGAGCTGGAGCTGGCAGAGGGAGCTCATCCGTGCTCTCCCTGGATTCGAACCTCTGACCTTTCATTCCAGGACAAGGGTTTAACCCATTGTGCCACCAGGGGCTCCTTCCAGTGTGATGCTTATGATTCATTACACATTTCAAGTTATGCTCATGTTATTTTAATCAGCAGCGATGCATTTCTTGAATTAGATTAACAGGACATATCTAGCCAGAATCGAGTAGAATTGCAGCCTAAATATTATGTAAAATTCATAATTAAGAGAATAGGGTTTCATTAGGAAAAATGCATCTTTCAAAACAATGGTGATAGTAGGATTTCAAAAGCTGGAAAATGGGGGGGGGGGATTACCAATAGACATGTGGGCAGAAAACCGAAGGTAAAGGTGATTTTAGAAACGGCAGCTATTGGAAGCACGAGCTGTTTCTAGAACAAGAGATTCATCATCATCACCATCCCATGCAATAGCTGTTGAAAAGAACAGAGGTCATTCCATCACAGTGGTAGGAAAGATCAGGGTTAGTTAGAGAACTCCAGGTACTTGAAGCTGGGCTAGATTTCTCTAATAATAGTACAAGTCAAAGCCTATAGATAAATGGATCAAGAAGGGACCATCGATTTGATGTAAGATACCATTAGCAACACACTTATGAGCATTTAAGAAGGCACTTATAGACTTGAGACAAACCTAAAGTGCAAGGAAGAGCTGTTGATGGTATTGAAATATGGGAATGGGAGACACCTGGCATAATGTGAGTGAAAAAGTGGAGGAGGTAAGACAGAAGAGACTGGAGGACTGCTCTAAAATTACATCTTAACTTTACCTCTGCTTAAATATATATGTATATATATACGTAGAGCATAACATAGTATTGTGAAACCAGTAAACCTGGATCTATATGTTGTCTATGTTTCTGCCTTCTGCCCTTCTGTAACATACTTCTGCCTCCTATAA